ATATGCCTTGATTTCAAACTATATTACAAAGCTATAGTTCTCAAAACAGTATGGTACTGGAACAAACACAGACACATAGCTCAATAAAACAGAATAAAGTGCCCAGAAGTAAGCCCCCACACACATGATCAATTAATTTATAACAAAGGAGCCAAGAGTGAAATAAGTCAATCAGAGAAAGACATGCATCACATGACCTCACTGATATGAGGAATTCTTTTTTTTTTTTTAATTTTTTTATTGTTATGTTAAATTTTCACATTTTGATCTGACATTGTAGAAAGCCTAAAAGCGAATCACCACCAGAGAGGCAGTATCTCATAGTGGTTGACGAGGGAGATTCTAGACCCAAATTGCTGGGTTCAAATATTTGCTCTGTCATTTATTACCCATGTTGGTTCAGAGCAAGTGACTTATACTTTCTTTGCTGGAGGTTATTCATTTGTAAAATAGAAATGATAGTAGCTAGTACTATTATTAGTAGAATACTATAATTACATTGGGGAATAAATCATAAAAGCAAAACACTAATAGGACTTTTAGCAAAGGCTGGCTGCTAATCTGAGCATTTTGTATATATCATCCCATTAATTCCTTACAAAAAGCCCACAAATTATGTATTATTACCCTATTTGCAGATAAAGCAATCATGGTTCAGAGATGTTGAGTGACTTGCCAAGTGAAGCAGAAAGTATTTGGCAGACGCACTACTTGAACTCAAACAGGGGGTGCATTGTCTGTCTTGCAACCAGTTTATTTCTTGATTCTGTCATGGGTGGTTTTATTTTAAGCTACTAAGTAGATGAGCTCATACATGTAAATGTTCAGAACAGAGTCTGGCAAGAGTAAGTGTCAGTAGGCACTAGCTGTTATGACTACTATTTCTACAACTTAATAGGTATGGAAGAAAGAATGAAATGCCTCATATACATACAACACTTTACGTGTATACAGAAACAGTCTCTTCTCATCAGTATTACTTACACTTTGTGAGAAACGTCTTACTACTAGTAACGTTCTCTGTTGTTGTTGCTGTTGTTGTTTTGTGGTTAATTGTCTAGCTTTATGTGGTAGGTTATGAACTCCATAAGAAAAGAATGTTTGTCCCCTTGTTTCTGTTTTTTACCTAGTAACTAGCAAAGAGCTAGACACATTACAGGTTATCAGTAAATATGTAAGATAAACAAAGGTGGACACAATAAAAATGAGAAGAAAGGAATGTTTTTTGTTTTTGTTTTTGTTTTTACCTTATTCACATGCACTGTCTCTGACAAAAACATTGAAATAAGAAGGACATATTGCATCATTTTTCTAAAACCATTAGCAAGGTTCCAATCAGTCCCTTGGTGTAAAGAATGTGTGCATGAAAGAATCATAAACAGGGGCTTTCAGGCCCACTTAATGGTACCATTGCTTTTCTCCCTGAGTCTCCCACCCGCTTTGTCTCAAGAGTAGCTAAGAAGGCAAATAGGTTTCCTAGAGTTACAACCGAGATGCAGGGCAACTCCAGAACACTGTGTTATACCTGCCAGGAGATTTCCTGGTTTGGGAGGACAGATATTTGAATCAAAAGATGAAGATTTTTTTTTCTCCAAAAAGAAAAGATATCTATATTACTATATTGTGCAGAATAATGTGCTACCCACTTACTTACCCTCACACAGAATTTATATGTCTTATTCCTCCTCCATGAGATAACACTACCAAATAAGTTTCTCCCCTTGATATTCTCAGCAAGAATAAGCTCTACGAGAGTACTGCTATGCTTCTTTTAATATCTGAAATTAGACACTAGCCTTCAAAATCTTGGAATACAGGAATATAAGACAAAGGACTGTAAGGAGGGAATGTAGAGCAGAGTGTGGAAAGCAATGATTTCTTAGTGGAAATTATTTTCTTACACATAGACCTTTGCAGAAATGAACACAAGAAAGGAGATATAAGGCATTCTTAAATGTCAATCTTTTTCTTTGGAAAGAGGTAGTTTCTTGGTACTAATTTTTACCTAAAAAATGTGTTTAGTATTAGATTTATAGATTGCTGGGGATTCTATCTTCTTTGGATGTTGCTATCATTTTTATCATGTAGGTTTTTATCACATATGTATATTTGAATTAGTACTGAGTGGGTGTTATATAACAGGTCATGCATGAGCCATGGTTCTAAGCCCCAGAGATGTCACTGTCCTGATATATAATGCAGAAACCATAGTGTGATTTTTCAGTGAAGATGATTAACTTACATGCATTACCTTCTGTTTAACAAAAATATTTACTTGTTTTCTTTAAGTTTGTTTATTTAATCTCTGCACCCAAGGTGGGGCTCAAACTCACGACCCCAAGAGCAAGAGTTGCATGATCTTCTGATTGAGCCAGTCATGCACCCAAATAGTTACTTGTTTTCATTCAGCTCACCTAATTATATGTTAACAAGTCAGTATAACATAATAATATAGTAATGTTTACGTGAATACAGCGTACAGAATTGTTCATTATTCCTGATAGCTATATGCTTGGAGTTTTAGTAAAAGATTGCTATTTTTATCATAGTGAAGTTTTAATTTAGATATAAATATTTAATTCTGAGGGGAAATTTAGTGGACTCATGGGAAGAAAAGGGATGAATGCTGGGGAAGAACCTCATTTCTGTGGTTACAGTAAGGGAACAGTAGATTAAAATGTTGTAAACAAAAACATATGATTAGGTTTTTTACTTGTAACTCAAGTCTGTCTACTAAACCAGATGAAATTCGTATTGCCTTTTATAATGGACTAGTCTCTCATCTTAAAATATTTGGTAAGACAATAATTATTTTAATATACTTACATAGTCCTGAAATTACACAGTGTTAATGGTTATGCTTTTTTTATGCTATAGTTCACAGAAATTTAGGTTTAGCAAAGCAAAGCAAAGCATATATTGTCATCAACTTTTAAAAATCTAAACATTAATTGTACATGTTATTTTATAAAAATATTAAAACAGTCTGAATTAAAATTCAACCAATGTATTTTTATGGTGTTTTGAACTGCAAGTTACTTTATAGGCTTTTGCTGTTTCTTACATTCATATTAATTTTATTGGATTTAAAACCCCCTTTTGAAATGCATGAGTCACATGTAATTAATTCTACCACCTTGAAATAGAATCTGTGTCTGCTTTTAAGAACCCTGTACTTTGTGCAGTATCTTTACTGGATATAATTGCATGTAGTCCTTCCTTAGTCCATGACCCATACTGTAAACAGAATTCAAACACATTGCTCAAAAGGAAAGATGGAATTAACTTAAAATACATTAGATATTTTCAAAAGATGGATGATTGCAGCATAGAAATAGCTATGGAAAAAACACTACAAATGTATTTTTTTTTGAAATGTATAGATAACATTTTTGATTTGTGGCACAAAGAAAGGAGTTGTAGTAAGAAAGAGAATGAAATTAACTATAGTGGTTTTGGCACAACCAAGTCTCACTTTACAGAATAAACATATTCTTCAAAACGTGGAAAATTAATTTAAAAAAATCAAATCTTAATTTACCCATAGTATTAAAACCCACTTTTAAAAGAAAGCGTGCACGCACGCAGTGTGTGTGTGTGTGTGTGTGTGTGTGCGTGTGTGTATGTGTACTTCTTTACTCAGTGCTTTGTATCTAGTCAGATGTGGTACAAATCAACTTTAGGAAAAAGTCTATAAAGTCCTTCTATGTATCTCTGAGTCACAAATCTCAAATCCTAATCTTGAAAGAGTTTTTATATCGCTTATATATAAAAACACTTGTGTATTTACATTGACATAGAAGTGACATACCACCTAGATCGTGAGGATGGTATTGGGAGAGATTTTCATAGAATTTTTTTACCTGGATTAAAAGCTCCATGAGGGCAGATGTTGTTCTGTTTTGATCACTGAGATGTCCCAAACCTCTAGAACATTATAGCCTGCATAGTGAGCACTCAGAAATACTTGATGAATGAATGAATGGACAGTTTGTAAATGATCACCTTGCTTATGTTTTAGATCATAAAAATGAAAATCTAGGCAGCTGTAAATTACTTGTCTGATGCAGTGGTGGCAAAAGCTCAACATGCAGGTTCTGAAGGCCATATCCTTCAATAAATTATTTCACTGTTAAATGCTAAATTAGTGATAAAAGTAAACATCTAACCAAAGTTAGATATTCTAAATGAGAATTTCCAGGCAAACATCTTATAGTCTTATATTTTATGTACCTCCCTACATAAGCCATTCTATAATTTACAGGGCATTTCCACGTGAGGTAAATAAACAAGCTAATATAATTTATTATGAAAAGTTATTTACCTACTCAATAAATACCTAGTAAATGCTTTTCTTCCAGCAGTGTGCTAAGTAGTGAGGATATAATTATATACATATGACTGTCATGTTCCCTGTCCCATGGACATTTCCTTTGGTGACAGAAACAAACAAAACCAAGTAAACACATATATATGCAAAATAAATTTGCCTCGTGATAAGTGTTTTGAACAAAATAAATGGAGACTGGGAGTTTGGGGATTGAATGAATTTGTAGGGGAGGCAAGTTTGATGAGATGACATTTCAGCTGGGACCTGAAAGTTGTAAATTCAACTTAAAAAGGAACTTCCTCATTTGGGTAGGGTCTCCTACCCAAATCTCCATAGGTAAACTTATATTCCACTGGGAGATGGAGAGGGGAAGAGTGTCTACACCTTGGACATACAGCAATTGGTAGAGTTGGAAATTATTGTGTCAAATAGTTAATGTCCATTTACCAAAGTGGAAACATTCCTATCCTGTCAAGTAGTTATGATGAAACACTTGTATTTTTTTTCATATTGTCCAGTCAATATTTGGGATGTTAAAATAAATGCTTAATATAAAACAAAGAAATAGAATTTTGGTAATACCCAAACAAATGCAGTATAGTTTTAGAGATTAAGTTTGACTCTATTTCTATTTTTTATTTGATTTCTTTATTTTATGCATGTTTCCCAGGATAGTCCACTGGTCTTACAGTCTGACAGGAATGTAACAGTGAATGCAAGAAATCACATGGGGCAGTTAACTGGACAGCTGACAGTAGGTGAGTGCTTTGGGGGTAAAGATTGCTCATACCATCTTACTCCACTTGAAGCTTTGTGATTGTTTAAATTGGGGAAAGCGAAAGTCTATTATTTCTCTAATATAAAACTAGACATCCTTTTTCAGCCCAACTATCTTGCATAAGATTTGATTTTTCACAAGCCAATTATAGTCTCCTCTATTTGGTAGTTCTTACTCTTGTCAATGTGTTACTATGAGAAAATACAATCACATGTATTTTGTTGTTATTACTCTTGAATTATGAAATGCACCATTTTTCTAACAAATACCTCCCTAGTGTACGTTGAGTTATAGTAAACAGAATAACACATGAGACATAACATCATATGGTCTATGTATCTTTTGTTTTAGGTGAATAATTTCCTGAGAGATATTATCTGCTAATGTAAATTAGAAATGACATATTAGTTGAATATAATAAATCTTAACATTTATCAATTACTTATAAATATGGTGTTGAGATTACTTACATTTTAAGATTTATAGGCTTTAGAAGTTATAAATATAAGTTAATGATAAAATATTGTTTTCTCATATTGTCAAAAAATTAGTGATTCATATTACCTGGCATTATTATTTGAGTCAATTTTTATAAGAAAACAGGCAAATAAAAAGTCAGTTGTAATTGTGTAAAATAATAAAAAGATTTGATTGTGTGGAACTGTCAAAATATCTTTTGAATGCTGTACTTTTTTGTGGGGAAATTACCTAATATTGATAATATATGTGTGTATATAAAAGTATATTATAAGTAGTAAATTATAATCTCAAGGAATGAGTTGTCCTTATCTTAATGAAAAATTAATGAGCACCTTAATATAAAAGTATATTTCCAGTAGTTCTTTTTAAATTACACAGGAATATGGCATTTGAAATGTGAGATTTATAAACATGAATTTGATTGTGTCTACTTCTTTGGTAGGTATATGAAACACTTTTCGATATGCTATTTGCTTTAATGAAACCAAAAATGCAATTTATATTTTAGCATATATGTATTTCCAAAAAATATAATTGCACTTTATTTATAATAATTCAATTTTATTTTGCATAACGTTCACATCCTAAAAGTTGGTCACTAGGCATCATCAGTTGAATACTGGAGGTTAAAAATAAAAGGAGGATAAACTGAAAAGTTGAACAAGAAGTAATATTAATGGGCAGAGCTAGTTTTGTTTTACATGTTTTTCTTCAGTGGTCTCCCTCATTTAAATTTCAGTCATAAGCGATCATGTTTAGGAAACCCAGAATAGCTGCTATATGGTCCTGTGGCTAAGCATGATAAGAAGGTCCGTAATTTCACGTCTATAACATTATCTCAGTAAAACATTAATACTAATTGGATATTAAATAATTGAAATGTCATTGTTCTAAATACTTACTTTTAAAATCTGCTTAGAATCACAATCTTATGCTTCATCTAAGGTCTCATATATCATCATAATTCTCCTTATTTAGTGCTCGGTAAATTTTGGGGAATAAATTCACTCTCAGGAACTGATAACTTTTATTGTCAGAATCATTGACTCATCTTGGATATTTTCATTTCTATTTATCAAGAATCAGTGACATATCTAAATTATATAGAAACCTTAATTACAATCTGTAATTTCTCATATTTCTGTCTTTCTTCATTACTTCTTCAAACCTGCGAGTCATGGCTGCCTTAAATAAGTCTTACTATATGGTAATAAGACAGTGTGTCATCTGCTAGAAATTAAACAAAATGATATTAACACTTGGTACTAGTTTGCTTTTCATAATTCACATTTTGAGGATTAAACACCACATAAAATAAAAAACTATTAGAGACAGCTTCTGCAGCAGAGTTGACTTTTTGGTTTCTTCTGAGGTCTGAGGTACTTGCCTTCATTGCGCAAGGGGATTTACAAGACAGCCAGGCAGGGAGTGGGAGTATTGAGTGGTAGGTGTGCATCATTCCTGGTTCTGTGCCTTTTCTAGTGGTTTTCAATTAGCTATATACACTTAAAATCAAATTTGCTTTATTTATGATAAGAGAAGATATGTTTGATGAGAACAACTAGGCACTAAGATTCTGTAAGGAGAATATTTTTTCTTTGATTTGTTTTCTCAGGATTTTGAGTCAATATACACTGATAATAAAGTCCATATGATGAAACAACCATTTTTAAAATATCATAAGTTTATAAAGAGATAAAAAATTAAAATGTACATATATACAAAATTAAATAAAAAATTAGTACTTTCTTTATCCGTATGGAAACTATTTGTATCCTGTATAATGATTAATTAAACCACATTACCTTCCTGGTAGTAAAGGTGTAAAGAGAAATGTGACTAATGACATGATCCTACTATGTTTAAGGAGAAACATTGGTGCTTTTTATGGAAAACCAGGGTTTTTTTCTCATATACACTGAACAAAATGTACACGTTGTTTAATAGAAAGAAAACTGGATGATACAGTGTATAGTGTCAGAAGCATTGGCCTGCCAATGGTGCTTTAAGGAATGCTCAGAGCGGGACCACAAAGTGCTGTTAGATAAAATAATTGTGGAAGCAAGAAACAGAACATGTTTACCAGTTCAACTTAATTCAGGGATAAAGATTTAGGCTTCTCTGCCTGTTAAATATTCCTTATGATAGATACTTTCACCTGGGACCTGGGCTTGTCATTGGTCAGATGAAGTGAGGACCCAAAATGTTAATGTTTGTGGCTGAGTCTTTTCAGTTCAGAAGTGAAGTGAACTGATGATAAAATTGATATCCTTTAGTAAAAACTGAAAACCCTAAGACTCTTAACTGTGTTGATGCCCCTCTGCCCACCTCAGTATATTTCCAACATCCAAGACAGGCAGGCGCGCGTGCACGCGCACACACACACACACACACACACACACACACACAGCACACGGGCTGCCCCATAGAATTGGTGTAAAGAAAATATTGGGAAAGAAAGCCAGCATAACACTTAAATAAACATTTTGAGTCTGCTACTACACACCGAAGGATTGTTTGAGACAGCAGTATTTTATTCAATGCAATATGCTACAAGGTAATTTGAGTCTAGAAGCTTTTCTAAAAATATTTACTAGTCACCTATCATGGCAAAATAAACCTTCAGTAATGCAAGCAGTGAATAAAATCACATAATTTCTAAAATTAATCACATAATTTTAATAATAACTGTGTTACTATTAAGAATTTATTATACAATAGTGTTTATTAGATTGATTAAGCCATGAGCATTTTTTAATGTTCCACATACTTAAATTAATCTGTATATCCAAAGATTTCACAATGCTTGTCACAAAACACTCTTGCTAGAAAGGCACTTTGATTATGACTAATTATTAAGAGATGTTATAGAAAACCAAAAAACATCAGAACATAAATTCAGTGAAAATTATTTTCAAAACACAGGAATATGTGGATTTTTCACTAATAATAATATTATGAGTGTAATCATGTAATTTATATATCAAAATGTTCTAGAAGAATATATTCACCTAGAAATCATACTTTAGTCAGAAAGTAGTCTTAGAAAGGAATTATATTTTAATAGTTAAGAGCATGAATTCTAGAGCCAATTAAATCCCAGATCTGTTACTTCCCAGCACTGTGACCAGGTTACTCAGGGCATCCTCCATACTCCAAGCTTCCATGTGGATAACATGAGTGTCCATCTCCTACAGTAGATGTGAAAATTGAGTAAGTGAACAGATGTGAAGTACTTGGACCACTTCATGTATATGTTAGTTATTGTAATTTTTATTTGATCTGTACATAAATAATTCTGTACAATTGGTGAAACCTCTTGGTTTTACTTAACTATGAAATGAGTATTATGCTAGGTTATCTCCATGGTTGTTTCCTGAATGTAAAATCTGTTTTTACCTTTAGAGAGGAAATTAGTTAATGAATCCTCTGACCCATTAAATTCCCCACTATTCACTAGTCCTGACAAAATCATATCTGATTTGATTTTTTGACATCTTAGCCACAAATTATAAGTACATATCTTTCACTTAAAATAAAGAATGTAATTAAGCACAACTAGATCAGCATCATTGTTTTTATTCTTTTGCTAAATTTTGACTTATTAAAAAACTTTTTAATTTAACATGTAAAATCAGTTTTTTTTTATTTTGTCAAAACTAAACATCAGCATGTTTTGTCCCTAAATGAGTGGAGAAAAATGTAGATGAGGGTTTTATAATAAATATTTAATGACCCCTAAAGTGACATGTAATCTTGCATTAAAGCAATTACCGTGAACACCTGGGAATCGCTTAATTGACTGCAGATGGTGTAGGACATATACAAAGTAGGTTACAGATTATTCTCACGTACCAAATTTACGTTTTTTGTCATTGACTCATTTTTTTTAACTTAAAGAATGCTGTAATAATCTGGGACAACTTAATAAGAATGAATATTTTATGTAAAATAGGCTGTACAAATCTGGGAGAATAGATCAACGAAACACTTAGGTTAAGTATGGGACACACATTTTAAATGATCAAATGCATTGTTGATGTGTCAGAGCTCATTGTTAATATTAATTAATTAAACTAATATTAATTAATCAATTTGAGAAAATAATACATTGAAGCAGATGACTGTGATATTAGGAGAAGGCTGGCATTCATAAAAATTAGGACCCTTAATCTGTGTTAACTCAGGTGTAACAAGAATTACAGTGTCTGAAGAAAAGACAGTAGTGTGCATGTTTTGAAAAGTTTTATCATAGGAGTATTTCATTTTTTAAAAAAGATTTATTTATTTGAGAGAGAGTGCTTGAGGATGAGGTAGGGGGCAAGAGAAGGAGAGGTGGAGAGAATCTTGAGCAGACTCCCCACTGAGCGGGGGAGCCCAGTGCCGGGCTCCATCTCATAACCCCAAGATCATGACCTGAGCCCAAATCAAGAATTGGATGCTTAAAGGACTGAGCCACAAAGGCGCCCCTCACAGGAGTATTTCATATCATTGTTTGAA